TCTTTGTACAGCAGAACTAAACACTGCCCAGTCTTGTACCAGTCCCACGATCCTTGCTATACCTGAGCCCACCGTTGTAGCCACTGTGTCAATCCATCTTGTTGAGGACCTTCCCCTTTTTCGTTGACCCTCCACTTTACCAACCATGATATCCTTCTCCAGGGAATGATTCCTTCCTACAACATGACCAAAGTAGGTGAGACAAAGTCTGGCCATTCTCACTTCCAAGAGGCATTCCGGCTGCACTTCCAGGAAAGATTTGTTAGTTTTTTAGCAGTCCATAGCACTTTCACATTCTTCACCAACACCCCAACTCAAAAGCATCGATTCTTCTTCGGTCTTCCTTATTCATTGTCCAGCTCTCATGTGTGTATGAGGCAAATGAAAATGCTATGACTTGTGTCAGGTGAACCTTAGTTTTTGAGGAGATATCTTTGCTCTTGAAAGAGCACTTGAAAGAGGTCCTTTGCATCAGATTTGCCCACTGCTATACGTCGTCTGATGTCTTGACTGCTACTTCCATTGGTGTTGATTGTAGAACCAAGTAATATGAGGTCTTTGACAACATCAATCTTTTTTCTATTTATCGTGATGCTGCTTATTGGTCCAGTTATGAAGATCTTTGTTTTCTTTATATTGAAGTGTAATCCATGCTGCAAACTGTAGTCTTCAGTCTTCCTCAGTAAGTGCTTCCAGTTATCTTCATTTTCAGCAAGCAAAGTTGTGTTGTCAGTGTATCGCAGGTTGTTAATGAGTCTTCCTCCAATCCTTATGCCACGTTCTTCTTCAAATAATCCAGCTTCTTGGATTATTTGCTCAGCATATAGATTGAATAAGTATGTTGAAAGGATACAACCCTGACATACTCCCTTCTTGATTTTAAACCATGTTCGAACAACAGCCTCCTGGTCTATGTACAGGTTCCTCATGAGTATAATTAAGTGTTCTGGAATTCCCATTCTTCTCAATGTTATCCATAATTTGTTAGGATTCACAGAATCAAATGCTTTTGCATAGTAAACATCTTTCTGGTATTCTTTGCTTTCTGCCAAGATCCATCTGACATCAGCAGTGATATCCCTCATTCCATGTCCTCTTCTGAATCCAGCTTGCATTTCGGGAAGTTCTCTGCCGATATACTGCTGCAACCGTTTTTGAATTATCTTTAGTAAGATTTTTCTTGCGTGTGATGTTAATGATATTGTTCGATAATTTCCACATTCTGTGGGATCACCTTTCTTTGGAATGGGTACAAATATGGATCTCTTCCAGTCAGTTGGCCAGGTAGCTGTCTTCCAAATCTCTTGGCATAGCCAGTTGAGTGCCTGTAGTGCTCCATCCATTTGTTGAAACGTCTCAGTGGTATTCCATCAATTCCTGGAGCCTTGTTTTACACCACTTCTTCAGTGTAGCTTCAACTTCTTCCTTCAGTGCCATTGGGTCTTGATCATGTGCCACCTCCTGAAATGGATAAACATTGACCAGTTCTTTTTGGTACAGTGACTATACAGTGACTGTATAGTAGATTCTAAGATTGGGAAGCATTGAGGGCCTCCTTTGTTCCTCTTCAGTAATGCTTTACTTATCCAGGACCTCTTCTTACCTTTCCATATAAAGTTGATGATTAGTTTTTCTATCTCATTAAAGAATGTTGTTACTTGGATTGGTATTGGGTTATATCTATAGATTGCTTTGGGTAGTATTGACTTTTTCACAATGTTAAGCCTTCCTATGCATGAGCATGGTATATTTTTCCATTTATGTGGGTCTCTCTCGGTTTCTTGCAGTAGTGTTTTTGTAGTTTTCTTTGTATAAATGTTTTACGTCTGTAGTTAGGTTTATTCATAAGTATTCCTGTGCTATTTTTGATAATTATGAGTTTAGTTGTTCTTGAATCCAGCAGAAGGAAGAGAACCCAAAGGGTGAGTGAATGAGTGATGGAACATCAGATATGTTTTGCTTCACTGCAAGAGAAAAAAGTTAAGGAAAAAACAAAAGGATTGCAAAGAACATAAAGAAATTGGAGAAGTGATCTTTTAAATTCTTCACCTCAGAATGTTGCTAGTGATCTGCTAGTGCTTTTTGATTAGCTGCATTTCCTTGTCCAGTGTTTTCTCTTTTAATTTCCTTGGTAAGGATTTATGAGTGGTATGTTCTTTGAGTTCCACAGTTGTTTCCTTTAATGATGGAGAATGTCTAGTAGTTGCTTTCAGTCCTGAAAAACAACTGGGCAGTAGGTAATATCTTTGGAGAACACTTTCATTAGAATTTTTGGGGTCAGTATTTGATTGTTTTAGGATTGTTTTCCACAGCACTTGTACCATTTTGTCTTCCCACCAGCAGTGGAAAAAGGTTCTAGTTTCTCCACATCCTCACCAACATTTGCTATTTTCCTTTTTTTTTTTTTTTAATCTTAGCTAGCCTAGCGGGAGGCTAAGATTTTCATTTGATTTGCGTTTCCCAGAGCCCTAGTGGTGTGATGGTTGAGCATTCAGTGGCTAACCAAAAGGTTGGCCGTTAAAACCCTCCAGTAGCTCTGAGAGAGGAAATACCTGGCAGTCTGCTTTGGTAAAGATTATAGCCTTGGAAAAAGCTTTATGAGGCAGTTCTACTATGTCCTACAGTGTCACTATGAGTCAGAATTGACTCAATGGCACATGACAACACTGAGAAGATTAGCATTTTGTTAACTATATCTCTCCATCTTCATGGAGCTGAGGAAGATTTATGGAGCTAATATCACATAAGACTTCCTGTTTGTTATTTTGACTATCAGTTTTCAAAATTTATGGGAAGAGCTTGTATGCTTTTTTATATTTGGTTGCTACTGACAATATTTTGGCTTTAGTTTTATTAGGTTATGAAGAGAGATGTCATAGCCTAGCTCAAGCTTGGCACAGTTGACACTTGGGGTTGGATGATTCTTTGTTGTGAGATGCTGTACTGTGCATCATAGGAGCTGTTGCAGCATATCTGATCTCAGAGATGCCAGCAGCATACCATAGCCAAGACAGCCCAAAACACCCAACATTGCACAGAACTGCCCCAGATTTAAGAGTTACTGATCACCTTCCTTCTCTCATTTATTCTTCATGGCCAACACCTGCACGCAGAGTTGAGGCTTTTTCCTGTGAAGCCTGGTAGGTGTTAACACCAGGCACAGCAGGTTTAGAATAAACCTCTTATTACACCTTACAGTTTAAGTTAATAATGGACATGTGGTGTTAACTGTGAATCTTACAAGCTGTTTATTTAAATTGGAATCAGTGAATTTTTAAAAATTGTCAAATGGTTAATGTATGGTGTTAGATAATTTACTGAGTGAAAAAAACTAATACTTGGTTGCTTTGTTATGGCTTATTTTTGGAGTAATGACATTTACAGTAGATTTCCTTTTTTTCTGCCTCTCATTAACTAAGATCATGTTTTCAGGGAAAAGGTGAGGAAAATTCTTATTGGCAATTCAGTTGTTTTCTGTTTAAGAGACCACCAGTGCACAGTTGTAAGCTAAATAATTGTCATGGTAAAGTAATTCCCTTGAAGAGGACAGACATTGATTCAGCCCCTGTTACTCACAAATCCTATTTCAGTCAAATTGGAAAACTATTAAGTTTTTGGGAAAAAAAATCAATAGATATCAGGAAGCCATTAGATCCTGTGGACTTTGCTATATCTTGCATGAGTAATCACTGTCAACAGCTGACAGGTATTTCATCATTGACACAGAATGATGCTTGAGGGCCTGCATCTCATCGGGATAGCAGACAGCATCAGACATTGGAATGAGTTCAGTTATCCTTGTTTGTCCCCGTGGTTCATTCTTCTAGACAACTGTGCCACTAACAGGTCGTATGATATTTTCAACAATTAAAGCCCTCCTTTTTTTTTAAAAAAAAAAAATTTCCTTTCTGTCAGTTTTCTTTTTCATATGTTATGGCATACTAATCATACTAATATGATTTGGTGCTGAATCAGTTTCTGACAAAAACAAATTTTAATTTCTTATTTGGAAATATGTTTTCCTCAGCCTCCATTTTTTTTACCAGTACTAAATAAATAGTATAAGGAATTACTAACAGTATCATAGAGTACATCATTTTATTTATTTTTCACGTTGAATGTGTTTTTTTAAATTTTATTTTGTTGTTTAGATTATACACAGCAAACCAAAAAAAAAAAAAAAAAAAATCCATTGCTATTGAGTTGATTCCATTGATTCTAACTTATAGTGACCCTGTAGGACAGGGTAGAACTGCCCATAGGATTTCCAAGCTGTCATTTCATGGAAGCAGACTGTGTCATCTTTCCTCCATGGAGCAGTTAGTGGATTAGAACTATTGATCTCTCAGTTAGCTGAGCACTTTAACCAATCAAGTGCTTTAGCCAGCTCAGTGCTCTTACTGTGCCACCAGGGCTGCTTATATGCAGCAAAGCATATACCAGTTCAGCAATTTCTACATGTACAGTTCAGTGACATTCATTACATTATTCAAGTTGTACAGCCATTCTCACCCTCCTTTTCTGAGTTGTTCCTCCTCCTCTAACATAAACTCACTGTCATTTTATTTCTTCTTTTTCTTCTACAGAAATTACAAGTAAAATTCTTTTCTGACAAGTGATTTTGGAGTTGTCCGTGTTTTGTCTTGCTTTTCTTTTAGAGGGGTGGTTCATTATTTATGAACTATCATGACTATCATTCAAGAGAAGAGAAAAATAAAAATAAATCCTGTCTTTTTGTGTACACATAGCTATGCTGCCAATTATTACGGCATGAGTAGAGCCTTGCTGTTTTATTTCAGTGTGGTAAGAGAAGGCCTGTTTTTGAGGGAAGAGGGAAAACAGGGAAGAAATGCATGTAAATAGATGCTATCACCGGAATTCCCATAAGAAGATTGGAAACCCATATTTGATTTGTAAATGTCTTTGCTTGTTAATTGGATAGAATCATATTTCTCAGTTGGAGGAAATACTTTGACTGAAGGAATGTTATATACTTTCAGGGGCTGTGGCATCTATGTTTTGGGTTGATGCTGAATTAGGGAGTGATATTTATCTTGATGGTAAGTGTAAACAAACTATTTGTATGGTTAAGATCATTTTTGTTCATCCATATTATGATTTTGATTGCTTGTGGTGGTGGTCTTTGCAAGCTTGTTTAGTTTGATTCTGCAGTGGGTCTTTGTTCGTACCGATTCTAAAGCCCGAGACTGATGGGGAATTAGATATCAAATCTTAATCTCAGCTCCCAGTAGCCTCTGGTGTTTGATTGGTACACTTGGTATAATGTTATTTTAACTAACTAGACAATATGAGGATCAAATTTCTGTTTTCATTTTCCCTTGAAGGTAAATTAAACATCCCCTTCTCCCCACCCCAGCCTTACTTTTTTTTTACCTTAACACTTTTAAGCCATCTTATTTGTAGATGTCATTTAAGACACTTCAGAAACAAAATTTTAAGTGACTGTGCTCCCTCCCTCCTTCTCTCTCCTTTTACCTTTCTTTAAACCAGGTCTTTCATAGACCAAGGCATGAAATTTAAGAATCCTTGAAGCTGGTACTGCATAGCTTTCACATGGTGCCTCCTCATTTGGCCCTAATAATGTGACAGGTGACTAGTTAAATTCCTTAGACGTCGTCAAACTCGTTCTGCTGTGATCCTTTGAAAAACTTATTTAGGATATAAATTCAGAGATTGCTAAACTGATTGTTTTGAAACTTAGGTATGTGTTATGTTAAACATTTATGTGAGTTAGGTTTTGTCACAGATAATAGGAATAAGGTATCCTCATATATCTCAGATTTGCTAAGCAATAATTTAAATGATAAGAAAAATGTTAATGTTGCCCTGGATGAAAATATACTAAAAATAATCTTTCTTATGTCACTTAGGAGCTCTGGTAGCATAGTGCCTAAGGCACTTGACTGCTAAGCAGAAGGCTGGTGGTTCAAACCCACCAGCCACTCCTCGGAAGGAAGGTTGGGCAATCCTACTTCCATAGTGATACTGCCTCAGAAACCCAAGGAGGGGTCGTTATGAGTCGGGGCCGACTTGACGGCACACAACAACAACAACATATGTCACTTAGCACATTTCTGTCATCATATTATAGATCATAAGCTTCCAAAGGGCCAGGGAAATCTTACTTTCTTATTTATTTATGTATCACTTACTTAACTTCATCTGTTTGTTTCTAGTCCCTTTAACTGAGCCTGACACTAGGTGGTCAGTACATGTTTGAAAAACATTGACTAATTAATGGATTAAATCGTGGCATTGGCAAGAGAAAAAACTGTACTTTGTTGTATTGAGTAGCATTTGCAAACTGAAATAGATTAGTTTTACTTTTCATTTTCAAGTATGATTGCATGATATTAGTAATCACCTTTTTAAAAAAAATGATTAAAATGTTTATTTCTTTGTGTAGGTATCATAACTGTTGTGGATTCAAAATACGGATTAAAAGTAAGTTGAATGCCTGCTGCTGTGAGCTGCTATTTGGTTGCTGATGGAACCATGGAGGTTGATTATATTAGTGTATCTACTTTTGTATTTGTTTGAAATTTTCTTTAACAGAAACAGCTTTTTTTATTTTTTAGGGAATAATAGATGAAATTTATGGTTTTTTTTAAATGATTATTTTGCATGGTTTTTAATGTAAATATCTCCCTTTTTTTACTCTTGTTTGATGTGCTGGTACAATTTGGAATTGTGGTATTTTGTTTTAAGTATTGGTGTCAGGATAAAGTTTGGGTGGGTAGGTCCTTGCTGGAATCCATCCCAGAGAAGTCTTCTTACCGGATAGGGAACTTTGAGCTTGAAAAACATAGAGGGTCTTAGTTTTCTTGTTAAACTGCTGTCAGACACAAGCTGGAGATAATTGAGTTTTTAAAAAATACTACTTCACCTTTGAAGAAATCAGGAGTTACATATAGGATTAGTGAGGAGGAGTTCTCCGTTAAAAAACGTCTTGCTGTGAATGTGTTTATAACCACCAGGGTCCTCAAGTGCATTTAAAATGGCTTCAATTTAGTACTTGGTTTGGATTTTATAGGCATGCTGTTACACAAAGTAGAATAGTGCTTTCTCAACTTTCCAAGACACATGTTACTGAGGGCAGAAATGTATAAAGGTCCCGTGACTTCCCTGGCCCCTACTTGGGATCCATGGATAGGGCCCACAAGAATTATGTCTTAGAAGTTTAAATTTGATATTAAAAATTCCTGTCAATTTTGTATTCTGTCCCATAATAAATCTGAATTTGTTTTAAGTTTTGAAAGTTTTGCCTTTTCCCTAAATCTTGAATAAAATTATGCTTAGGTTTGCCAAATGGCTACAAAGCCTCCTTAACTGGCCTTTCAAGTCCCTCCGTTGCCCAGGGTCAATTCCAACTCATAGTGACCTCATGTGGCAGAGGAGAACTGTCCTGTAGGTTTTTCTAGGCTGTAATCTTCACAGAAAACAGATTGCCATGTCTTTCTCTTATGGAACTGTTGTTGGGTTTGAACCACACATTTTATGATAAGTAGCCAAGAACTTAACCACTGCACCACTAGGGCACCTTCCCTCAGGGCTAGAACAGTCTAATTTGAGAAGTTAGAAAGATGATTCCTTTTTAGAATTTTATGTCCAAATATATTAATAGTTTTAGGAATCAAAGCGCAAATACTACAATTTTACTCAGAAAATTTCAAGGACTGTTCTAAAATCATGATATTTCTAACAAAATGTTTATGGAGTTAGCCCCCCCACACACACCTAAAAAATCATACTCTTCATTCTGAATGCTTATGATTGGCATGTTTGAATCCATCTCCTGTATTGATTTATTACCAAATCCAGGATATTTGTAGATGGTAGCTAGGACATTTTATTTGTGTTTTAGCTTTTTTTTTTTTTTTAAATAGACTTTAAGTGCCATACCCAGAGGCAAATTCTGTAGTAGTCCATGTCTTTTATGATTATAGGAATAACTTTATATGTATATTTGGGTGTAGAGAAGAGTTAAATAGAATCTATTATCATTGTGAAGGAGGCCCCCCCAAAAATTGCATTCTGAATAATGCAAACATGGTAAACATTTAACTCCCCACCACTTTGATAAAACATCTTAAATTATTAAATCAATATACCTGCACAAAACTGACATACTGTCAGGATAATGGAAACTTTAGATTTTCTAAGTCGTTTGCCAGATAAATAACTTTTCCTTTATATAAAGAATTTACCCACTTGTCCAATTGTTCTGGTTGCAAAGCTTGACCTCAGTAGCTGCTTGTGATTCAGAGAATTCTGAGGCAGTACAAGTAATGACAGTTGGATAATGGGCAGCAATTTCAGGTGTCATGCTTCACAGAGCCAGCCCATCACAAGCAAAGCTGAGAAATGGCACCCTGTGGCCAACCAGCCAAATTGAAACTGAAATGGTAATTGATATCATGGGCTATCACTCTAATGGGATTGTCACCCATTGATCTGAAATATTCATTTTTTAATCATGGCAAAGAATTGGACATCTTAAAATGACAGCTCTGTATACTCAGGACTTGACATCCAGGCTACTGACACTGTTCTCTTCAGGTCTACAAATGTGACAGCACTTAATGCCATAGAATCAATGAATGAAGTTACACAAGAAAGGTCAAGTGAGAGGTTTCCTTTTGGTTCTTCTGTTATATTGCACAAGCTGTTGAAACAATTCAGTCAAAAGCAGTTTGGCTTGGAAAGGGCCAGAAAAATAAATACACTGACATTATGCAATAATTTTTTTGAAGGTAAAATAATTTTAGATCTATAACCAGTCCCTTTCAAAGAAATAGCTCCTGCTTTTTTTAAAATGACAGGTGACATCTTTGATACTAGATTTATATCCAGTTTGGTCCACAGCAGTGGTCTTTCTTGCCAGTGAGTTTTAAGAGAGTTTTTTGTTTTGTTCGGCAACGTTGTCCAGCATTTTCCTCTGTTTCTACAGAAAAAGACACGCTGTAGAGTGTGCCGGAAGCTGTGGTGGCATAGTGCCTAATTCATTTGACTGCTAACCAGAAGGTTGGTGGTTGAAACCCACCAGCCGCTCTTGGAAGAAAGATTGGGCAGTCTACTTCCATAGAGATACCGCCTCAGAAATCAGCCATCTCTCCCATGGCACACTCTACTTCTCTGCAGTCTTCAATAATTTATTGTAATGGCCACACGAAACTCTCAGACAGTACCCATAATTAAGAGGTTTATTAAGAAAGTAACAGGTTAAAATTCAGGATCAAGAACAACTCAGGAAATAGTTCTTCAACAGGACAGCCTCTTCTCAGCCATACCCTTAGCCAGGCCTCTCTCTGGCTCTCAGCCCCTCAACTCTAGCCCTGGCCTCTGCCCTGTTCCATCAAGTGTTACAAAGCTCGTTGTTGTTGTTGTTGTTATGTGCTGTTGAGTCGGCCCCAATTCATAGTGACCCCTCCTTGGGTTTCCGAGGCAATATCACTATGGAAGAAGATTGCCCCATCTTCCTTCTGAGGAGTGGCTGGTGGGTTTGAACCGCCAGCCTTCTGGTTAGCAGTCAAGTGCCTTAGGCACTACGTTACCAGAGCTCCCACAAAGCTCTTTAACTCTGCTAATAAGTGCCCAGAAACACTCTACTGTCTGTAAGCCTCTTGCCTGAAAGTACTCAACTCTCTTGCTCCGTGAGTTGGCAGGCCTAACTCCACCAGGTGTCTAGAGGCATCCCACTCTGCCAGCAAGCCCCCTGCCCAAAGGCGTTGAGCACTCTTGCTCTGTGGATTGGCACACCAACTGTAGCTGCCTTGCTCATGGGTCAGGGAGCTCACTGCACCATCTTGCTGTAGTCTCCTGGTTCCACAGCTGCTGTTTCTCTGTGGCTGTCTGTCACCATCTCTGGTGTTATAGCTGTTTCTCTGTTTCCTGGCTCTAGGAGGTTATCACTGTGCAGGGACCCTGGGTCTAAAGGACATACTCCATTCCTGGCTTTTCTTTCTCAGTGATAATGAGGTCCCTTTTTCCCATCTCTGGGATGGCTCATTTTAAGCCTAGCATGTTGGCAAAATTGATCAATCCCCTGGTTAGGGGTCCATACAGCTTATTTGCATGGTCCAACCTCCACAAGAGAGCCATGTACCCTATTTGCATTATAAGCAAGCTATCCAGCCCACCAGAAGGCTGGTGGTTCAAACCCACCAGCCACTCCTTGGAAGGAAGATGGGACAATCTACTTCCGTAGTGATACTGCCTTGGAAACCCAAGGAGGGGTCGCTTTGAGTTGGGTCCGACTCGACGGCACATAACAACAACAACAACAACATCCAGTCCCTTTGGTGGGCCATAAGCACCTTATTTGCACAGTCCTTCCCAATCATCATGTGGAAAGTTATAAGACGGTGCATGGCTCTAAGGGCCATATTAAGTAATTGACTGCACTGCAGGCACTATTTCAGGCTCTGGCCTTATTCTCTAGATGTGGAAGATATAATAGTAGCGTTTATTGTAGCCTCAGGCTGAGAATAATTATGAAAAAATATTAAACATGGTCTTTTGGCATGGAGTCATTTTTGATACAGCATTCTCTGAGTTCTGTGATTGCTATGATTTAATAGTGGGGTCTATACTTGAATGTCTAGGATGAGTCCAAAGTGGAAATCGGTACATCTTCACCATAGTTTTGGTTTAGTCTTGTTTTTCCCAAAGAATTTTGTGAACTTTTAGAAGAAAAAAATTTTCCTCTGTAGACTTAAGACTATTGTTGTTGTTATGTGCCATCGAGTCGGACCCCGATCCCCCCTTGGGTTTCCGAGGCAGTATCACTACGGAAGTAGATCGCCCAACATTCCTTCCAAGGAGTGGCTGGTGGCTTTGAACCACTAGCCTTCTGGTTAGCAGTCAAGTGCCTTAGGCACTACGCTACCTGAGCTCCCAGACTTAAGACTATTCAATAAAATTGTTATCAGCTTCCTTTTAGATTCCAGACTCTCCAGATACCTTCATGATTTACCTCTCCCAGAACCCATGAATTGTGAACTGAATTTGGCAATAAACTTGAATGTGATCTTTAGATAAGCTTTTTGCATATTCGATTGTATATGTGATTATTAACACTTGCATAGTACTGTATTCAAGACTGATTTAACCTTAAATGCTTTCTTTCACTTAGATTTTAAAATTTTGTTTGTTTTCCTTCTGTTGAGTACATTTCCGTTTTTTTAAAAATGCCCTTGTAGTATGACATCCTATGCTGATGAAGGTGTTCAATTTAGTTTCTTCCTTTATGAAATGAGGAGAGTGGGCCTTACACAAAATTGTTATGAAGAGTAAATGAGATAATGTATGTAAGAAGATTTCAGTTTATAAACATTAAATAACTCAGGTATACAGTGCATTATGGTCATCTGTTAACTCACCTCTAAAACGCAGCAACAGCACCTTTTTATTGTAAAGGATGTTTAGGGTGTACCCAGGACTTTCCAGCAAGAGCCTTAAGGGATTGATAGCATTAGGGAAATAAATAAATTATTGTGGGGAGTGGAGGGAACGGCTCCCAGAGAGACAAAAACAACCTTGTGGGCCTCTTAACCTTCGAGTCAGTTCTGACTCATAGCAGACAGGGGAGAACTGCCCCATAGAGTTTTCCAAGGCTGTAATCATTATAGAAGCAGACTGCCTCATCTTTCTTCCACAGAGTGGCTAGTTGGTTAGAACTGCTGACCTTTCATTTAGCTGAGTGCTTAACCACTGTGCCACCAGGCTCCTTTATATGGGCCTCTTAGTCAATATCAAAATGTTTTTTTGGGAGGTAGACCGACACTGGAGAGGTCAGCAAAACTAAACAGTTGCCCTGAGAGGCCACATCCCTGGAGTGTGGATTTCTGAACAAGAAACTGCTTTTAGGCTAGAAGTAAGGCCAGGCCCTTCCCTCAGGGATTCATCTGTAGGCATTCTGAACCCAGCACTGAGTTCACACTGTATTTCAGATTTTGGGTATGGGAAGTGAAGGTGAAGGTGAAGAAGGAGAGTAGTACATTTGATTTTAAGAAAAGTACAATTTCAGTGGCTATCCCATTTTTTTATAAGTAATGAATAGTTAGAAGAACAATTTTGTAAAAATGAAAGTACCTAAAATCTGAACTAAGTATAGTTTTCTGTGTTTTTATGAAAAAGAATAGGGTAAAGTGGGTAAGATCCTAGGGCTCCCCTTCGCCCAAAGAATAAACCTCAGGTTCACTACAGAGAAAAAAACTGCAAAGGGAAGGAAAAATGCTTCCATTAGAAAAGTTCTTTCTGAATTTGTTGAAATCTCTATTAGCGGCAAGAAGGTTGTGGTGCTAGAGTAAAATCTTTTGTGTTGACATTAGATTTTATGTTACCTCCCAGTAATCTTTTTCAAACTTTGTTTTTGTTTAGCATTTAGCAGAAGAAAAAGCTGATGGCCTTATCAATGAAGCTACTAGGTATTCATATTTAAAGTATATATTGATTGGTGGCTAATTGGATAAAGAAAATCAGCAATACGCAAACCAAAAGCAAACAAAGAAATAGAAAAACTGTAGTCAAGGAAAACATATATTCTTCCTCCCCATACCCCCCCCAATTGAATTATTGCTAGTAATTCATAATGACCTGGTAACTAAATTTTATTTTCAGCCGTTTTTTATTAAGGGTGTGAAGTGAGTTCTGGGCGCAGGAGCTCTTTGATTGTGAGGGCTTGGGAAGTGCCAGAGTTTTAAATATTTTCTTGTTCCAGTATGATTCCTTTGGGATTGGAGATTATAAAAAATTGCAGGCTCACTGACAGCCGTCTCTTAACGGTCATTCACTGTGATTCAAAACAACAGGAACCAATAATGAAATCGTGTTTAAACCTGGCCTTGAGAACATTATGTCTTATTTAAATACCTTTGTGTTCCTAATTTGTTTATCTGTGTAAATATTTAAATCAGTTTACCTACCCCAAGCATATTCTTGCTAATTGGATAATGGTTCTGGAGAACTGACAGTCAGTAAATACGGTGCTGGGTTTAGGAGTGAGCCCCTGGATCTGCTTCAGGTGCTCCAGACATGAATAAGAAAGGACAGGCAGTGAGGGATGCAATCGGGTGGTTTGGGTGTTTTAAATCCTGCCTGAGCACTGCAAACAAAAAAACCAAACCCCTCTTTGGGTTTCCGAGGCGGTTTCTCTACAAGTAGATTGCCCAACCTTCCCTCCGAAGAGTGGCTGGTGGGTTTGAACCGCTAGCCTTCTCAAATGCCTTAGGCACTATGCCACCAGAGCTCCCTGAGCTCTGCTGTGGTCTGTAATTATGGTGAAAGTTAGCGTGTGCTTTTTTAACTTGTCTCCTTATTTTGAAGTCTGTTTACTATTGAAAATGTAAATAAGCCAAAAAGAAAAGAGCGAAATGTTACAAAAGTCCCAAAGAAAGTCAAGCATAGAAGTCCTCCCTTTCAGAGAGAGAAATAATTTTTGAGATATATAATTCAGTCTTTATTCATATAAAATTTACTTAAAAATGGGATTGTGTTGGTACATACTATTGAAATTCACATTTTCAGTTAATTTAGTTTTGAGATTTGGGTTGTGGTCTTTGAAATAATTGGCTGTTCCCTCATGTAGCAGAATGATTGGGAGCAAATAGTCAAGTGATTAAAAATTTCTTGAGGGAAATTGAAAACATCCTCAGCTTTACTGTTAACAGAAGAAAATTCCTGTTAATATAAAATAGAGCTTCCAGTTACAGTAACCTATTTTGTTACTGAGCATTCTGTCAGCTGGATTCTTTAAATTTTATTTCTATATATATTTTACAAGAATAATATATATTCATAGTGATAAAGAAGGTGTTTGTGGAAGACTGCGAAATAGCTTCTGAAGTATACTTTTTAAAAACCTATTTAATGTAGAGATACTATTAAGTGAGCTTGTTCTACTTCTTTGAAAATTACGATAACTATAAAGTGGAATATTTGAGTAATTAGATTGTCCTTCGACCTACCATATTGGATATCTGGATTCTATTCATTTCTTTATGAAGAAAGTCATGAATTGAAACTGCTGTCCTTCTGATGGTAAATGTTTTAAGGCTTATCTTTGTAGCTCCAGAGTGCCTTGTAACTAGGAACACTCGCTCACTGTTTTCTGAATGAATGATGTGAAATATGAATTCATACATGATGACAATAACTCATCCTTACCATCTGAAGAATGATAAGCAGATTAGGAGTAAACTAAACCACTATCATTCCTAACTATGTTGAGGTGTTCCTATGTTTTAATTTCTTAACATTTACTTTTGACTTCTGCTCTTTGTTTGCTAATAGGCAGGTTGCTTTGGCAGATCTCATCATCATCAATAAGACAGACTTGGTTCCAGAAGAGGATTTAAACCAATTAAGGACAGCTATTAGGTAAAAAACTGTAAATATGTTAAGTACCTATAAATCCAGAGTATGCTATACAGAGTATTTTTACCATGATTCTTGCCCTGAGAAGCTAAAGGTTTAAGATTGAACTGCGTCCAAAAAAAAGTCAAATACAGGAGAAGTCCTCCCGTTCAGAGATTACCCCTGTTTTGAGGTTTATTTATATAAAATTCACTTTAAAATGGGATTGTGTTGTACATACTGTCAAAACTCGCTTTTTTTAGTGAAAAAGTTGTTGAGTGCTATCCACTTGATTCTGACTCATATTGACCTTGTAGTACAAAGTTGAATTGCCCCATAGGGTTTCCTAGGCTGTAATCTTTACAGTAGGAGATCACCAGGTCTTTTCTGCTTCAGAGGTTCAAACTGCCAACCAATTGATTCTCAGTAGACCACTTAACCATTTCGCCACCAGAGCTTTTTTCCAAGTACCATTGTGGAGTCACATGTTTGGTTGTTAGCTAATTGACTGTTGCTGTTATGTGCCGTTGAGTCGGACCCGACTCGTGGATGGTGTATCACTACGGAAGTAGATTGCCCAACCTTCCTTTCAAGGAGTGGCTGGTGGGTTTGAACCACCAGCCTTCTGGTTAGCAGTCAAGTGCCTTAGGCACTACACTACCAGAGGTCCCATAGTAATATAGAACATGATTCCCTGTTGCTTATAGAAGATAGTTCTAACTTCGTAGATGGATATTCAAATCCTCTGATGCTGCCCTTTCCTGTCTTCTTATTGACTCCTACGTGAAGCCTCCCTAACTATAGCCAAAATGATTAGCTTACTTTCTGTTTTGGTTACCTAGTGCCGCTCTTGACAGGAATATACAAATGGGATGGCTTGAACAAACAGGAGTTTCTTCTCTTATAATTTGGAGGCTTTAAGTCTGAGTTGAAAGTGCCAGCCTCTAGGGGCTGGGTGAAAGCCCCTCAACTTTGGGCTTCAGCTCTGGCTTCTGCTCCTGGCCCACTGAAACTAGAGGTTTTTCTTCACTCAGATAGCTGCTGGCTGCTGAGGCTGACAAGCCCAAGGTTCATAAGTGAAAAGGCGTGGTCCCAATGTTACCAAACCATATGGCAGGCCATTAATTCAAGTCCATTGAAAGTCCCAAGGTCAGCAGAGCCTGGCAGGCTGCTGAACAGTGACTCGGCTATATGCAGGGTTCAAGCGTACCATAAGCTGGAGACCATTCCCAAAGCTGTTCTTATATACGGGAAGCAGACCACATACCCAAAGCAGCTACTCAGCTGCTCCAATAGATTCCATCATGGAAATTACCAATCTCTCCATGGGGAATAACTACATCCAGCTGTCCAGCCACTCAAACAGGCCCAGCCAAGTTGACACACAAACTTAACTACCACACTTTCCCAAGGATGTGTCTTGCAAGAGCCCTCTTAACTCATGGTTTCTTACTCTGGCAATCCCTGAATTTCCCTCATCTGCTGTTTGTATTTTTTAACCATTTTTTTCATGTAAAACATAGTACCCATTTGAAAAATACATGTATCCTTTTACCGGCTCTGTGAAGTCTTCCATGACTCGAAGTTTTCACTTTTCTCTGAACCCTCATTGCTTTAATGTTTTCATGTCCATGGCCAAGGCCAATCAACATAGGGCAATATGAATGGTGCTCAAACATGTTAAATGATCCACAGTTAGTTCACTGACTGCTTTAGAAACTCTTTTCTTTTTTAAACAAGAATAGGCTTTTCAAATGAGATTGGAATTCAGGGACTTTGTTTTGAACTATTTAAGACCTAAACCAATACATGCACATATACTTTCTTTATGGGTCATCTTTAGTGGGTACAGTGCCACGTGTATGGTGACTCAGAAAAGTACCATTTCTAATACTCGTAAGTTCTGCTGACAGCACATTTTGAATCTGTCAGAGGTGGTTAATATATAATGTGTTATGATTAATTCAATCAATAAAGATAAGGCTCATTAGGAAACTGGTTGTAGTGATTAATGATTGTGGTAGAAAGAAATTCCTATTTTTTAAAAAATTACTTGGTCTTATTTTAATAGTAATATTCTTAAAGTTTCTTATATTACTATTTTAATAGTAATATTCTTAAAGTTTCCATGTGGAGAGCAAGTAGTGTTACTTACTGTTTAAAATCATGGACTTCAGAATCTTCTTAGGCTCTGGTCCTTGGTCTCTTTCTCACTGTGTTCTTAGTAATTTGTTTAACCTTTTTAGGTCTCATCTGTGAGGTAGGAGTAATACTTACCTCATACAACTGCTTTGATATTACATGATGGTGGTAAACTGCACACTGCCTGACACATAGAACTGTTGGCTAGTATTATTATTCCAGTGTAGCTTTTTTTTTTTTCCTTAGCTTATATAGTAATTTCAAGTTACAGTGAATTAAAAATAAAAGAAAAAGAAAGGCGGCTGATTAAAGTCTAGAAAGGTAAAAGTAGTGAATGGAGATTACTTCATTCGCTCTTTTTATCATTGGCCTTCTTAACTGTGTTTCTCTTTTCAAAATCCTCTGCATCACTGTGACTGCTAGAAAGGAGAGTATAATCTCTTTGGCAGACATGTTTGGTATAGAAGGAATAGTTATCACAACTTGGCTTTGAATCTAAGCTGAGTCTTGAACCCTGGCAGTCTTGACTATTAGCTTGCCTGCTCCCGCCTGTATACAAGGGCCAGACAAAAGAATTGGGAAGAAGCAGTTTCATCAATTACTAACCTTTATGGCTGTTTATCTTCCATTGTTCATCAGACTTGCTACTGACTCCTAATTAGAGTTGGGGAGCTAGAAGATGGTAAACATGTTTGAGGGAAATTACCATCAGGCTATAAAGGATATTCAAAAATAATTTTATAAAATTGGAGAAAGAAATAATGGAGAGATTTGCCTCAGAATCATGTGGGAAGCCTTACCTATGAGAATAATGTGGAGCAAGTAGCAAATGAATTGGGCAAGTAAGCCTAAAGACAATAGGATTGATGATAGAAAATAAAGATAAATAGATGAGCTGACAAGGATTTAACCCCAGTACTTTTTTTTTTTTTTTTT